AAAACTTAAGTATATTACTAGCTTAAATGATTTTAAAATTTCCAAGAACCATGTTATTATAACTCCTTGTTTTACTTATAAAATATTTATTTTTAATAATTAAGTACCAAAAATAATTGTGTAAAACATATGCAAGTTATGGTAAAAAAAACTAATAACATTATAAAATCTTATCAGAAAAGGATAAGAATTTTTTTTATTTCAAGTAAATTAGTATTCTAAGAATAATAAAAATGGACATGTCAAAAATTATTAACAATGACTTCTTTTAGAAAATAATTTATCAAGTAAATAAATTAATTTGCATCAAAATTAAATAATTTATTAAACATCTTCCACGTATTCAAGTTCTAAAAGAAAAATTCTATTTAAGTTAGTATATTGAAATGTTTCAAAGCGAATTATAAGAATTGTTCACTTTTTAAATTTTAGTTATTAATTACTGAATTTCAATAATTAGAATTTTTTCATATATTTGTAAAATTTATTAAATAATATTAAAAACACATTAAAACTTTTCAGTAACATATTAAATACAAATAACAAGTTTTTGAGGTCATAAAAACATTTAGGGTGATTTTCACTCTCTAATTTACCAAGAGTGGGTTTCAAAAAATTTATATTCTTATAACCAAAAATCACAAATTCAAGTAACATATTCTAATGATGATAACTCTTAATCCACCACTTTAATTTAGACAAATTACTTATCAAATATAAGAGTCCATGAGATATTATAACTAGATACTAAATTTCAACTATAACACTTATCAGAAAACTAAATTTTGATGGTCTAGAGTTAGCAATTTATTATTTTTTTTTTTAATTTTTTAAGTTCACTCTTACTTCAAGTAACCAAAAATATATAAAATCACTTCTAAAATTCCTATCAATCTAAGATTTCACTAGTGTAACATTTACTTCTTAAAAATAATTAAAAACTAAATATCATAAAAATCTTAACTGCTAAACATTTCTTAGTAATCCTAATATGCACGCACAAACTTAATTAAAAAGTAAGGATAGAGAACAAACAACTTAAATCGAAGAAAGAAAACAAATATTTTGTTCTAGATCAAGATCAAATCTCCTCTTTGATGTTCCTCATCATTTATATAAAATGTAAGTTACTCTATATTTATATTTTATTTTATTTTTATTCTCTACATTATTATGTAATTACTAATATACACACTATTACTTATAATACCTTTAATTAATAAAAAAAAGCATAATAGGAAAGCTAATTATATATATATATATATATATATATATATAAGGTGCATTCTTTCATCATCCTTGAAAATAAATGTGTGCTATATAAATAAATAAATAAATGTAAGTCAACTCATATAACTTTCTCGTATCTTTTGAAACTACTCAAACTTGAAACTTCTCTTCCATGATAATAAAATTATCCTAAACTACTCTGATGTGCAGACATTTTATAAAAATAATATTTAAGATTGAAGAAAGAATCCTGACATATACAATATAAGATTGTTGAAATGGTGTAGAAAAAACAAAACATAAACAAGTTTGTGAGTCAAGTTCATCTAATGTTAATCTCTGTGATTTTTCTAATCATTAAATTACATAAAGAGATAGGACATACCGAGTCATATGCGATCCTAAAACTTTTTTTAGTATTTAGAAACATTTCAAGAGAGATTTAAGAATGAATTTACCTCCGTAAACAAACGAAGCTGACGCAAATGATCTATGCCAAGAAATAGAGGCTTTTGATCTATCATCTTCATGAATATACAATCCACTAAACATAGACAAGTTTTGAGTTGGTTACTTCCCTTTGTCTAGAAAATTTCTAATTAGATTTGACAATTTGAAGACTCTTTTTGGTGTCTCCAACCCATGATAACTATCCTCGACCATTCAAACAAGATCCCGATGATAACAATCCTCATACTCCATTAGTAGTGATACTTGAAGAAGACTATTGAGGATAAAGTAGGAAATGAAATGAATTGATTTATAATAGGATTTTATAAATAATGACTCATGAAAATCAATTTGAGACTTTTTATGAGAGAAATTATGTTTGAAGAAAGAAAAAACGGTCCAAAGAAAGATCTATGATGTTCATATTAAATTATATGTAAGGTTAAATTTGTTTTTTCATCAACAATTAAAAATTATTTTGATCAATGATGTAAATTGTAATTTCTAAAAAAATAAAAGCAAATTAAAAAAATAATCTAACTATAAGATGGCAGGAGAATTTTTCCTAATACTAATAATTAAAAAAAAAACATGGCTGATTGTTACCTAATTGTCCCATTGCAATTTTTCTTTGTTATCTAATACGCCTTTGTATAAAGTCTTATCAGTGTGCTATAATTTTCTTTAAATTTGTTATCATGGTATCATCATCCTAATTCATTGTTTCTTCCCATCAATTGTTTTTTAATTGAGGTCAACAATGGCTATTTCTTTCTTTCTTTCTTTCTTTTTTCTCCTTACAGCAAGCCTATTTCTTGAACAAGTTTTATAAATAAAAATTTTAACTAATTCTTTGACTTGAGATGCCGAAAGAAATTAATTAAATAATTCTTAGACATTGCCGAAATATTATCTTCTGACTTGAGATGCTGAAATAAATTAATTAAATAATTCTCAGACAGTGCCGAAATATTAATTACTGCCATCATTTTTTTGTGTGCGTGTTTATTAATCTCATTCTCATGGCAGTGAGGATTTCCAAGGGACTTAATAATATTGTGTTATTTAATGTGGGATCGTGAAATGAGCCTCAGAGGAAACATATAGACTTAGTCTAGAGAAAGGTTGAAGGGCCACCCTAATTTAAAGAAAAAAATTAAAATATTTTTAAAATATAAAAATAAAAAGGACGGGAGCAGGCAAGACCACATAGCAGCATTTACACTGTTACTGCTCTGCATCAAGTACTATTAAAGGAAGAGATGGTAAAATAACTGAGAGAGCGTAGGCAAAAGTGACCGAAAGAAGCATTAGATTTTCCAATGTTAAAAGCATGAGAACTATATAGAAAATAAGAGAATGAAGATAAGAAATAATAGCACGCTTTTTTTTTTTGGCATATTATAACTAGTTACTAAATTTCAACCATTTTTAAAAGCATGAAAATTAGATAGAAAAATATGAATAATTTTTAAAATTAATAATATCCACTTCCCACAAGAAAAAAAAAAGAAAGAATAAATTGAAAGCTCATATACATGTTTGGTCATTGTCAAGAATTTCTGCGATTTCAACAAATGTCACGCATGGAAACAAGATCACTGGGAGTGCTAGAAAGTGGTAGGAATCCCCATCATCTTCTTCTTCTTCTCTTTCTTTAACCTAAACATTAGTGCCTCTCTTCTTCTTCTTGGTTTTTCCTTCATGGTACATAGTAGTAAAGAAAACTACGAGAGAAGACGAATTAAAGCAGATATTATCGGGGTAGTTGAGGTTTCCAGGAGTAAAAGAGATTATTAAAGTGTTACAATTTGTTGGATCCTCCATGAAGTCAAATATCTCAGAGCTCCGAGTCCCATGTTGTTAATTACTTGAATTGGAATTCCATTAACATGACTTCTCGGAGAGAAGTGCACTGACTGAGGAGCTTGGTAAGCATCTTGAAAGGCTTGTGGTGGGGTATTAGGATGAAAATCCTGTGGGATTTGCTGTGGGACTTCTGGTGGTGGGCAAAGGTAATCATTTTTGGTTTTATCTGTTTTTTATTTATAAAAAGATCAAATTAAAATTTTAAAAAATATAAAAAAAATCAAAACTAATTCTAACTGACTAATTTTGGTTTGGTTTAGTTTCATTATTTTATATAAAAAATCAAAACCCAATCAATCAATTTTGGTTTGATTTGTTTGGTTTTTATTCGATTTGGTTATTTTATATTGAAAACCCAAAAATATATTATTTTTTGGGTTTTTTGGATTTTTTGATGGGTGTTGATTGTGGTTTGAATTTTTTGATTCAGTTTATTTTTAATTAAATTGGTTCAATTTAGTTAAGGTTTTCTGATTTCACGCTTAGAATTGAAACTGAATATTTTTTAAAATATTTTAATTTTTTTAATTTAATTAGTTTGTTAGTTTTTTTTTTTTGCCTCCTCATGTCCGGCTATGTGTGGGTATAATGCAAACAGATTAGAGCATTGAGGTGGAAACTCAACGACCGAGTTGGATTTGTTAATTGGCCTTGTAGGGGTAACTGTGGGAATGACTGGTTGGTTTCCACATTCCTCGTTAGCTTGTGGCCATGTTGGGTGTTGCAAAGATGGCGATGGTTGTTATGGTTACTTAAATTCGCGATGTTCTTCTTTGTGGTTGTTAATATATTATTTGTTCATGTTGGTCGAATTAATTTTTTTTAAATATAAAAGAAATATCTAGATATTATTAATATATTATTTAGTAAAAAACAATTAATTATATGGGATTGATTTATCTGACTAAGTGAATCTAAAAATAACCTAAATAACCGATAAAAATAAGTATAACTTGAAAAAAAATCAAGATAATATTTTTAAAAATTAAGATGATAATATATTAGAGTGACTTAAATTAATGCAATATAATCTGTTAAATTTATTATCCTGATCATTAGAACTTAATAACCTCACAGAAAACATATCAAAATAAATTATAAATCGTAATTTCTAATCATTCCAATGTTCAAAAATAAAATTAAAAAAAACTAAAGTTAACATTGATTAACGTGCTTAATATGTGATTTAGGTTATAAATTTGAAATAAATTTATAGGAAGTAAATAAATAAGACAATGTTAAAAGATGAAATTAAAAAATATTAAATAAAATAATTAAGTCAATCCAAATTAACCCATCAAACACATGACTGAATTATTAGAACGATTCTAAAAAAATAAATTAAAATAAATTATAAAACTTGATTTTAATAAATAGAATATTAAAAATAAAAGGAAAAGAGAAAAAAAAACTACATTAAAAAAGAAAAGATTGCAACAAGCATGCACTTCTCAAATTATTTTTTCAAGATTACATAGAAAACATGGTTGAGATTTAAAAAAAAAAGATGGAAAATATTAGAATTGGCAAACGTAAATTACATCCGTGTCCCTCGCGATGAACATTAGCGTATCAAGGCATCATTCTTTGGTTCGTTGGAGGCACCATACCAACTTGAGCCTGCATCATATTCTGCCTCGCTAAATTTCCCTGCCATCCTACAGCAACAGTAACAAATCAAAGGATAATTCTGTCATTCAAGATCCTGTTGATTGGAGGAGTGGTTTATAATATGATGGGAAAGAAAACGACTTCAAGGAAATCTAGAATTAATGCGAAAATGTAAGATTTGAGGACTAAGATTCGTAAGAATCACATACAAGGAAAAACTTATAAAAGGAATAGAATAAAAGGCAATACCAATGGAAGGATCCAGGTCTCTGTTATTAAGCTCTCTATATTCTTGACAAAGAGCACACCATTCAAAAAGGCAGTGAGTGAGCCAGTCCGGTGCTGGGTCCTCGATGAGTCCGTACTTGGCTCTAAGCTTGGAGCGGTAACCGCAAGATACTATGCACGGCATGGCAATGCAGAAGGCCACCATACCATAGATCATTCCATTTGTCCCGCATGCTACAAAATATTAACATTATTATATACTTTTATAATCAGTTGGATTTGTATAAATGTAAAAAGGGCTACGGTTTCTTTTCTTACTTGTCTGGCCATTGTCAACAATTTCTGCGACCTGACCAAATGTCACGCATGGAAACAAAGCTGTTATGAGAGCTGAAAGGTAGCAGCAAACACATCAGTTCCTTCTATTGCTCGATTACAAGAGATAGGTGTGGGGAAAAAGGGTGTTGGATCAACCACACTTTACTCCTAACAAAGAAACAAAACAAGAGAAGAGAGCAAAAGAAAAGGGTGCTGGGGAACGGAGGTGTTAATTAAGGGTTTTTATGTGTTACCATTTGTTGGATCATCCATGCAATCAAATATCCCAGTTGTCCATGCCTGCTGTTGTTGATTCATGACTTGCATTGGAATTCCAGGTGCCGGACTTTTTGGAGGGAATTGAGCTACCTGAGCCTGAGGAGCTTGGTAAGAATTTTGAAAGGCCTGTGGTGGATATGCCTGGGGCATTTCTTGAGGGCCTTGGTTTGGGAATCTTGCTGGCTGATTTGGCCCATTTGGATACATTGGGTTAGTTTGTGGGCTTTGCGGTGGGAACTGAGCAGGCTGATTTGGAAATGTTCGTGGACTTTGCGGTGGGTATGCTGCAGGCTTCATTGGGTTCTGAGGTGGGTATGGTGCGGGCTGAGTTTGAAAAGTTTGTTGGCCCTGTGGTGGATATGGTGCGGGCTGAGTTGGATTTGTTTGTGGTCCTTGTGGTGGATATGGTGCAGGCCGAGTGGGCCCATTTGAGTACATCGGATTGGTTTGTGGGCCCTGGGGCGGGAACTGTGAGGGCTGGGCTGGTTGGCCCCCATATCCCTGATTAGCTTGTGGCGGGTTGTACTGCTGCTGCTGCTGAGGAGGTGGTGGTGGTGGTGGTTGTTGATCCTGGGGGTTACTTGCGGATGTGTCCGCATACTGGGATCCGTAGTGATCTTGTTGGCTTGAATCATTATAGTTAGTTGCATATGCATGTGAAGAGAAATCATGAGTTTGTGTAGCTTCTGATGTCTGCTCGTAATGGTGTTCCTGTGGCTGATCAGTTTCATACGAAGAAGAATCTGCTTCAGGACGTCCCATTTGCTCTGCTCTCTTTACTTACTAAAAAGAAAGGGAGAGGCAGGAAGGAAGGGGGAACGTTGATAATATCAAGATGGTTTTAGCAATCAAGGAGAGAGCTTTATAAAGGAAGGTGTAACGCTACGTCCGTGTCCAAGTCTTCGCATACAAGAGGGCAACTTGGAAAAAAGAAAGCTTAACAGTGTAGAAGCAAGCAGGAGCATTTTCAAAACGAGAAATAATAATGAGAGAGTAGCGGAGAGGTGCAAAGCACCGGTTGACTTGCGGAGATTCTGACATTTTGTGGGTGGCAACGACGACTAATAATGAGAGTACAAATGGAGGACTTGAGCGCTGTGATAGAAAACAAATCATAAAAAAGTTGTGGAATTTTTGAGAGGGTTTACTTTGACCGAGACAAATTATATAGGGTGTTGATTCATGGAAACGCGGCTGCCTCCACCGAAACCATGTGCGCGTTGCGTGTCTGCTTGAGCTGGATGGAAAAACTTGGCCAAGACAGACACTGTTTAATTAGCACTGTGCTAGCAATCATTCCCCTCGCCCTTGGAGTGCAGAGTCTTCCCCTGCTCTGCCAATATTTTCAATTTAAATACATTTAGTGTTTTTATTTCTTGAAACTGTCTTTTAGTTTCTAAGAATAGAGGTAGCATTTTCCAGATTTGTCTTGCAAGTTGCTGCCGCATTCTGATGAACTCTCAACCATGACTACTGCATTTTATAAATAGTCGATTAAAATTAAACCCAATCATAGCCCACGACATGCACCGCATATATATAGAAGCATTCAAACTTCATAACATAAAGAATAAAAGGGAAAAGGGTATAATCATACACTAATCATTTGTAACATAGTAAAGAGAATTAATATGAGGCACATATTTAAGTTGCCTTCGAAAATATATATTCTTGAGGACAATTAGTATTTAAACATAGAACCCTTCACAATACAAATGAATATTTAATACAAGTTCTTAAATAAAATTATGAAAAATTATCTTATATATCTATTATTCTACTTGTAGTTGTGAGTTATCTATAATTAATTTATAACTATCTATTAATTGTATAATATGCAAATTATTTAAGCAAATAGAAAAAATAATAATATTGTATTTAGATTACATCTCATCATCATCAATTATTAATCAATAATTTATCAACGTGATCCATTTATTAATCTACATTATTCGGTCACTACATTAAAATTTCTTATTTGTCAATAGCTTAATAAATCATTCTTTTCTTGACACTTATTTTCTAAAACACAATATTTCTAAGTAATACACAATATCAGGTAATTTCTTTCTTCGCTTTTATCTAAAAGTTATTTCCATGCATAGGAATCTAAACTTTTTCCCCATTACCAGATTTTCATTTTTAGAAATCTACTTTCATTGTGTAGTGCTGGATGTTAGTCTCAATACAAGGAAAATTTAATCCCCTCATGCCCATTACCAGCATTAATCCCATCACTGAAAAATCAAATCCTTCACCCCTTATCAGGCATTAGTTTCCATCATCGAAAAACTAATTTCTTCACCCTATATCGGCTATTAGTTTTCATCATTAGAAAACTAATTCATTTGTTATAAACCATAAATTTATGTTCAATATAATAGAATATTTCCAACATATTTTATATAATAAGCTAAGAAAGATAATGACAAGATGTATTACACCTACTTGCTATCTTAGCTCAAGTGATACCTCCTTACAATAGTATAGCTCCCTTAGTATCTCCTATATCAATAGGTATTCCATGTTATTACTTATTAAGTCCTCATTTTATAAATACACACACCATTTAGATTTCTTCTTATATTTATTAATTGAATAAGTTCCATAGCAAAATAACTTCTTTACATAAATAATACTAACCAAATCTAGTCAATTTAGGCTATTAAGACAAGAAAGTCATCTCTCATTTATTTCACAATTATAATTACTAAAATATAGTTTCATTCGTAACTTATCTTCTTAGATAGTTATACTACATTTAAACCAAAAGAATATAGATTTTATTCAACCTTAATACACTTAAATTTACTCGATATCATTACTGGACGAAACTGTTTAGCACAAATTTTAATTTGTTGATTCTTAGATTTTTGCCTATATCTATAGATTTATAACTCCAAATCACACACGATCAATTTTAATGTAAGGTTAACAATCTTATCTATAACTTTTATGAAGAAACTAATTTTAAATTTCATTATTTTCATATCTTAAACTTCTTCAAAAAATGAGTGATAAAGCTGTCTAGTTTTTTATGTCCATAAATTACGAAACCAACACAATGTTCCATTCATTTTCAAATTATTCGTGCAAGCATTATATACATTACAATATCCTCAATTTCAACCTTTTAAGGTTTACCAATCCCATTTCATTTTATTTAAAATATTCAAAACCATGTCATGGAAAAACATATACATTAACATAATATATAACTATACTACACTTTATATAGCACAAATCATTATCGTAATTTCATTTAAATATTTCTTTTTTGGTCAGCATTATCCCTTAAATTCTTATCATAATTTATCTGAATTTTTTTAATCAACTATTCTTTAGATGAGAAGTTAACAACACAATGATCCTTCATCTCTAGAGGCACCAATTTTTCTCAATTCTAAATCTCTCAACATTATAGCATTATAAGCACACTTTGTAATATAACTTAGTTCTTTTAAGAATCATTTTCCTCACACAATCACACACTAATTTATCATAGTTTTGCTTAATTAAACACAATTTTATTCCATGCAATTGATCCTTCATTGGTCAGCCATTAAGTCTTAAAAGCTACATGATTTTCTTCATTGTTTCTTCTTAATTTAACACCCGATACAATATAATCTAATCTAATTTGATCAATTTATAGTCCATTTCTATTTTCCCTAAAATTCTACCATAAACCCTAACATAAAATTCATGATTTTTATCTTAAATTATTACTCCTATCATATGAAATTTCTAGATTAAATTTAAAACTTCCTACCAAACATTAATCTAGTCTTTGAAACCTAACCAATTAAATTTTTTTGAAACTTCACTTAAATGCCCTTGCTGCCCTTGCTGCTATGACAGGGGTCTTCAATTCCCCTTGAATTCCATCACTTTCTCTCTTATTTGTGTGTTTAAGGTGTGATGGTGGACGATTCTCTCAATTTCTCCATAATTCCTTAATTTTTCTAATTATTCTTCATCCCTTTCTTTTTGTTCCAACCATGTCGGTCGGTCACTCACACATACACACACATATATACAAAGAGAGAGAGAGATTGTTTTTATATAGCTTTCATTTACACTTTAACCCCTCATTTATATAAAATCTTAATTTTCCCCAAATTTTTATAATTAATTTTTAATTTAACCTATTTTATTTCTAGGTTAAAATTTTAATATTTCAAGAAATATTTAGCGAGGAGTTTACATGGTGTATCATTCTTATACTATAAGGGCATGAACTTTCTTAATAATTCATTAATGGCTTCGTTGACTGTTGACTATTTATTACATACGGTTAATGACATCATTTTTCTTTCTATTTCTATTTTTGTAATGGATTGTGCCCTTTTATAATTTTTCTTTAGATTTTACCCTTAAAAACCCATCCATGTCAAGGTTTATACTCTCTTTTTTTTTTTAATGGTTAAGAGGTAATAAGCTAATTAAATCAAAGTTGTTAGAAGTGTCAATTGAATCAATTATGAGGTCAAAGATTAAAAAGCTTAATAAGACATTTAATTAGCTTATTCAAGATACTTGGATTAAGTCAAGTTTCCAGAATTCAATAAGGAACAATAAGGTTTTAATTAATGTGATCTATGCAAAATTTGGATAAATTTAAGTCGGTTTTGAACTTTATTTTTTCTAATACGCAATTTTATATTTAATACGTATAACTTTTAGTCTGATCATTAGATTAAGCTTAAATATTGTCAAAATATTCTAAAGGCCTTATTTTATATAAGGTTAAAATTTCATAGTGATAAAAAATACTAAACGAGATTTACATTATTTTCCTAGTCGGTTTAGATTTTTTTAATATTTGGATTATTACTCTTTTATTATTATTCTAGCCTAGTTTAGGACCTTTTTACCTAGTATAAAAGAGGTATTTAACTAATATTTAAGTTTGTTTCATATTGCATTTATTTCAAAATAATATTGTGTGTACGCAAGGATGGTCATACTTTATGTTCTTTGTTGAACTTTTCTTGAATTTATTAAAGCTAAATTATCTTTGTGGCGTTATTCTTATATTTCTAGTTCCTGATTCCTTATAGCCATAGGGTTAGGGTTTTTTTCACCCAATAACTTTGGTGTCTTTGTTTAGGTAATTATTGTGTCGGGTTATTTATCATAATATGATTTTAGCTTTCTTGAGTTGTTTCTTTCTTGTATATGGGTTTAAGGGTTCTTATCTTCTAGGTTCACATCATCATATATCAATCATTTATGTATTTAACCAATAAAAAAAATAAGTTAATGGCATGTATTTTTATGAATTCTACCTTTCTATAATCAATTAAGTTTTCAACTATTTTATCCAATTCTATTAAATCATGTGATATGTGTAAAAAATTAATACGATCAAAAGATTGATGTATTCTCCTAAGTGCAGGAGTATCGAAGTAACAAATAACCCGACAAGACTAGGGTCGAACCACAGGAAGGTTAATTGTATAAATTATAGACAACAA